ATGGGTAGTGGCTTAGCAACTTCATCCGCCAGCTCCTTCAGGACCCGCGGATGGATCTCATCGGGTCCCATGGACTTGTGCACCTTCAGGTGCCTTAGATGGTCTCGAACCTGATGTTCTCCCACAGTGGGCGGCTCTTCCTTCTCCCAGTCCCCGCCTTTGCCTTCTGCAGCTTGGGCGGTGAGGCTCGAGGAGTCTCCAGTGAAGACCGAGGCAAAAAGTCTTTTGAGTACCTCCGCCTTCTCCATATCCCGGGTAACCAGGTCTCCCGTTTCCTTCTGGAGAGGGCCCACATTTTCCCTTGTCTTCCTTTTATCCCCGACGTACCTATAGAATCTTTTCTTGTTGCCCTTGATGTCCCTGGCCAGATTTAATTCTATCAGGGCTTTAGCTTTCCTAACCTGATCCCTGGCTGCTCGGACAATTTCCCTGTATTCTTCCCAGTCTACCTGTCCTTGCTATACACATTTGACTGTGTATAGTTGTGATATTTTGAAAGTATCTGCTGCTTTTGTTGTGGTAGCTGGTACTCTTTTTGAGCAAAATGTTATGTCTGTTTCACTGGCAAAATACTAGTTTTATTTAATGAGGAGGGTAGAATGCAACAAATTGCCAAACTGTTATGCTTGCTGTTACTCATTTACAGTAACAGGATTATATGGCATCAGAAATTTGTGTACGATTTTGCTCTTAGGAGAAAAGGGAAATTGTCTTTTTATATTTTAATAGATTATTATTGAAATCATAAAGACCTTTTCTGTTAGGAAAAATGGTTTTTTAAGCTGTTGAACTGTTGTCTATTGGATAGGAACCTGCTAACAGTCGTCTACCTCCTCACCTGATTGCACTTGATTCTGCTCTTCCTGGATTTTTTGATGACCTTGGCTACTTGGATTTACTACCATGTCGTCCTTTTGATACTGTTTTCATTTTCTACATGAAGGCGGGCCAGAAAACAAGCCAGGAGGTAAGTGAAAGCATAGAGTGCCAACTACCTTATATTGTCTTGTTCCTAGTAATCCCCAAGTGAATAAAGCATCGCTGCTAATGACTAGAGTGGAGTATCAGAACCAGGGGTTCTGGGCTTTGTGTTTATTTACGGTGTGAGCTATAACAAGTCACTGTGTACTCTTTTCATCTGCAGGTTGAAGTACATTACCACATTTAGGATTGTTGTAACATCTTTTTAAAATATATTTTTATGTAGATATAAAACAGATATTAAATATTAATAGTATTTTTGTTATCTGTTCTGTCCTTACTGTCCTTATTTGTAGAGTTCAAAGATTCATATCAGAAATGCATTTCAGATTTGTTGGCTCAACTTGCAGGGAAGGTTGCAGTTTGTTTCAGCAATGAGCAATGTCCAGGTAGTTTGGTTTGATTCTAATGTTAAACACACATTAAAGGAATGAAAAACTTTCTGCAAGTAAGAAGGTATTATTGCTTTGTAAGCCTTTACATTATACTATTTACATTCTAATGCAATTAGGTGAATCGGGTTAATTTGTGTGAATCTAAATTGTGACTTCTTTACACTGTGACCTAGAAACTCACTAAGACAGCTTATGGGCTCATTAGAAAAGGTTGTTTCTATAGTACCTTCTCCTTATTCCATTCATAATTCTCATAAAGAGTAGAAGCATAGCTTCCACAAGAAATTATTGTGCCATCTCCTCGTGTTACTGTGAATGTACAGTTGACAGAACACTGTAGCACCTTCTACTTCTGCGCGGAATACACGAATTCTTGAAACCAGGATCGTGCTGTTTGTGGGTTTTCAAAGTTGAAGTTCAGAGCAGCCACTACACAGTCTTTCCATCTCCAAAGTCAGCTACAAAAGAAGATATAAAAGGTTTGCCTTCCAGCTGAAATGTGCTCTTGCTGAGCTCACAGAATGCTTTTTTTCCCATCTGATGCTTATATGCTCTTACGAATTTAGACAGATGAGATTACTTAGTCCTGCAGATCTTGCCGGCCTTTGGAAACCCAATTAGCATGGGTTTTGCCATGTAGATTTAAGAAAGTCTTGTATTTGGGAGATTCTGGACATGTTTAGACACAGTATAAAGATGCCACTCCTGCTTCAAGATCCCTGGACATCTTGCTGTGATTCCTAAGCCTTTCAGGTTGTGCAAAGTCACAGTGGCAGTCAAGTTAATAACATAGTCATCTCTATGGACCTGAGCTGAATGAGATACTGGTACTGCTCCCATCTTTGAAAAGACCTGTGACTTATTTCTGTCCTGTTTCGTTTTCAATATTAACAATCAAGAGAGGAGGAGATCAAAGCCAAGTTGTGACATGGTTTCTGCTTTGAGCAGGGCTGGCTGCCTGGTCCCACTCAGCCATCTCTGTGTGTGTGAGTTCATGCCACTTCAGCTCAGGACCTCATTCTGTTCTGAGAGGTGACCTGCTGTCCTTTCACAAGGATTGGTGTCAGCTATGTTTTATCTGATGCTGCACAGCCCAGAATAGCGGCACCTAGCCTGCTGGTTATTGCATTAGGCCCACGTATTTATCTGTGGTGGTAGGCTTTTACAGTTGAGAAGGGTCTCGTGGTATTTATTTATACAGGGTAATGAAACTGCCCGCACACTTTTTACATCATTATACTTCACATCATTAAATGTCCTTTGAAAATATCCCCTTGTCCTTGCTTTACTGTAAATTTTTTTTTGAATGGGCTCAGATATAAAACCGTATAGTTGTATAAAGCCTGAGCTTGCCTATTTTCTGAAATTGTCTTCTAAACTGCACTTATCTCGATTCATTCTGAAGCATAGCTATGACTTCATTGTGCTCAGTAATGAGAATAATAGTAATATTTCAATGCAGCGTGTCCAGACACTGTTGAATATTGTACAAGGCGTTAGGATAGGGTGCCAGGACCGTGTGGATACGAGGAGCCTCCTGTCTGGAAGCTTTCCTTCTAGCACCTGTCCCTGTCCCTGCAGTTTCTGCGCCACTGGAGCCTGCATCCCAGTGTACTGCCCCCACACAAACCAAAATCAAAGATGCTCTTGCCACAAACCCAATTCTCAGGTGGCCCAGAAAGGATGGATGCATTGCACAGCGTTGTCTGTTCCACAAATACCAATGGTTCTGGTAGACCAAATCACAAATCATCCATGTCTCCCTGCGTGCTGTTTGGTGAAGGTCTTCAACTCTCAACTTATCACAATAGGATAAAAATTACCTTTGGATGTGGAAACATCTTTATAAGAAGTAGGATTAAGGATTAAAGTGAACAGTACATTGTGACATTTGAAATTGTTTTGCAAAATCTGTTTCATAATTTAATGTGCAGTGAGGCCTGCCTTCTAAATCACTGTATGTCATGTACAGGTGAGTAGTGATAAAATACCTTTCTCCTAAAATTTCACCTCAGTTTAGTAGTGAAAATTGTCCAGAAAATTCTCATGTTGTATTTGGTGGTAATGCAGATTCTGCGCTGAACAGTTCTGTGGTTTATCCCTGATAAGTGGATAAATCTCAAAATTGCCATTTCTAGCAATTTCATTAACTATTTTACAGGCTTTGGCAATGATGGCAGAAAGACAAGTTGATTGAATAGGACACTGCAAAGCAGGATGGGAGGATGCTGGACAGCAGGGAGTAGTGTCCATGCAGAAAGTCTGGGGTTCCAGGCTTGCTGAATAGCTATATTTGGGCAAAACCATGTTGGTGACACAAAACTTTAATTAAAAAAAGTGGGGAGGGAGAGAGCTGCATCCTGGAGTCTCCTGTACCTACCACGGTGCTGCTGGTTGTTTTAGATCCTGAAGAACATGGAGTCTTCCAGAATTGTTCAGCCACACTTCCTGGAGTTCTTGCTGTCTCTTGGCTGGTCTGTTGATGTGGGGAAGCACCCTGGGTGGACTGGCCATGTCTCAACAAGCTGGTCAATCAATAGCTGCAGTGATGAAGAGGGGCCAGAACAAGGTAATACATAGTAAATGGTGTAATGTTAAATTAAAATGTTTAGGCTCCTTTCTAAAGGAGACAATTAATTTAAAATTTCTTGCTCCTGGATACCTATCTGAGCACTTGCATATTTTTTTTCGGATAAATGCTGATGTTTACTGGAAAGGAATGTGTTAAAAAAAAAAAATAAAAATTAGATTAAGCTTTAAGTCAAAGTGAGCAAAACTAATGTCTGTGTGTTGTCGGGAGGAAGTAGCCTCAGCAAGAAATACCTCTGTGCTATATTTTTAGCAGACTTGATGAGTCTTTAATATACTATCCAAAGCCAGTATTCAGGTGAAATCGGATACAGATGTGCTGCATATTGGCAAATAGACTTGAAATACTGTGTGATTGTTAGTGTTCTGTAAGTAGATTAAAATGAGATGTTGGCTAATAAGTTAGCCTTGTAATCATGCTTGGTAGGAAGTAATGACGACAAGCTGCTGTTTGTAGGTCACGGTGGTTGGAGCCTACACACAGCTCTTCTGTCCTCCTTAATTTACTCTGCTTTTTTCCACTGAGCAACTCCTCCTCTGAGCTTGTCATATACCACCCTCTTACCATTCTGTCAACCAAAATGATCCTCAGGGTAGTGAATTGCTATCCCAGGGTGGTGAACTGGAGGTCGGGTTAGTTTCTGCCTTGAATGACTTAATCAGATTACCTGGGATTCTGATAGTGTCTGGGTTGGTTTCAGTGTGGTTCATGGTCACTGCTCCAGGTAGTGACTTGGTGATCTTCAGAGCGTCAGCCTTCTGCTGTGGGCCCTACAAAGGCATTGAACAGGCTGGTCCAGCTTGTTCAATGTCTTTGATCTGGGATTTGCATCAGGTGCAACACCATTACTGCTGCAGTTGCTTAAGCAGTGCTCTTGCTCTGCTTTCTCTTCACTGTGCCTTAGAAATGCTCTTCACCTGTAATTGCGGCCAACTAAAGGCTTCTCTAAATAAAACTACAAATAATAGAAGGCTTGAAATGTTGGGGAGAGGTAAGAGAACAGAGGCATGGCTTTCTCTGAACAAGTCAGGAGAGGTTACAAAATGGCCAGGTCTTGGTTTAATTCTCCTTTGAGGACAGGGTCAGACTGTGCTTTACTTGGAGGCAAAGCCCTCTCCCTTCCCTTTGCAGTTGGATTTGTCAGTACAGCTGTGCGGAAGGCAGTGCCCTGAATTAGGTAACCTGTTTTGATGTGGGCTTTTTAACTTGTATTTTTATCAGCCATTTGGATTAGATCACAGACCACCAAATAGTTGAATTAATTCAACAAACTGGGGGAAGAAGGAACAGAAAAAACATTCAAGGATGGGAGGGAGGACAACTACTAATCTGGTTCTGCTGTTGGAAAAATCCATGAGTGGAGTTGTACCTTTAGCAAGCGATGGCTAAAAACCTGAAATGATAGATTTAAGGTAGACTTGGACCAACTTGTGAACATTGCTTGCTTCATTTTCTCCTCCAATCTTTGCTGAACTATTTTGTTAAATGTATTTTCTCTTTGTGGATGGCTCTGATGCTTGAAAACCCATTCAGGAGTCTAGCATCCTGGCCTGTATCAGAAACAGTGTGGCCAGCAGGAGCAGGGAAGTGATCGTGCCCCTGTACTCGGCACTGGTGAGGCCGCACCTCGAATACTGTGTTCAGTTTTGGGCCCCTCACTACAAGAAGGACGTCGAGGGGCTGGAGCGTGTCCAGAGAAGGGCAACGAGGCTGGGGAGGGGTCTGGAGAACAAGTCCTATGAGGAGCGGCTGAGGGAGCTGGGGTTGTTTAGCCTGGAGAAAAGGAGGCTGAGGGGAGACCTCATTGCTCTCTACAACTACCTGAAAGGAGGCTGTAGCGAGGTGGGGGTTGGTCTCTTCTCCCAAGTAACAAGTGATAGGATGAGAGGAAATGGCCTCAAGTTGCGCCAGGGGAGGTTTAGATTGGATGTGAGGAAAAATTCCTTCACCGAAAGGGTTGTCAAGCATTGGAACAGGCTGCCCAGGGAAGTGGTTGAGTCCCCATCCCTGGAGGTATTGAAAAGACCTGTAGATATGTGTTTAGGAACATGGTTTAGTGCTGGACTTGGCAGTGTTAGGTTTATGGTTGGACTTGATGGTCTTAAAGGTCTTTTCCAACCTAAATGATTCTAGAATAGCTTCCAGTGAGACGTGATTAAAATAAATTCACAGGCATATGCTTTGGTTTTGTTTCGCTGCACACCCCTAAAAGCAAAGAAGCTCTTACAAGAATTGGGTTTGGGTTGCTCCCTGAGAGCTATGGACTGGAGATGCAGGAACGCTTCCCTGATGGTGAAGCATGGCTTGGACGCTCCTGCGTGCCTCTGGCCACCTTTCTGTCAGCGTTCTGAATTTCACTGCTCCATTGGTTTTGCTGAGGCAGCTATCCCAGGAACCCTTCTGTAAACTGGATCAGAGAAATAATTCAGCTTAAAGTCCTTGCTAGTCTTTCTGGAGGCAACATGGGGAAGGAAAAGCGGGGGGGTGTGGTGTGTGTGCTGTAATTTCCTTACAGCATGGCTCCACCAAAGAATTGTTTTCTTTCTGTACTGTGAAGACCTGACGTACTGGCCAACTGTGATGAGAGAATAAATGGGGGCTGAGAATGAGGAGCTTTCTTTTATTGGGTTTGATTCAAGAGAGCCTTTTTCTAACTCTCCTTGGCAGAAGACAAGACAGAGGAGAATCTATAGAAACTGGCTTGAATTCTAGAATAGTATCAGACTGAAGTTATAAATGTTAGAATCCTTTGGAAATTTAATGACTAACTTAATGATGTCTGTTAGAGCGAATGGTTAGAAATAGCTACTAGATGAATTCTTGTGGCAGACGTGCTTACTAGACTGCTCAATCCGAGGGAAATAGGGTATGCAGTACAATGGGAATATGTTCAAAATAAATCCTCTCCCAACCCAAAATGCCATTTCCTTCAAGATGATAAAAAAAGTTTCTGAGAATGGTTGTTAGCCATAAGATTTGACTGTGAAATCTTCTCATTTTAAAATGAGATTCTTGTGATTTCTTCTCATTGATTGCACCTTGTGTTTGAATGTCTTCTCCTGAGGCAGCGTATAAAGAGGTAGAGCTTCCTTTTGACTAAATTTTCCTTTTATGTCCATTTCAGATGACCTAATTATTTCAGAAGATGTTGGGGCAAGTATCTTCAATGGGCAGAAGAAGGTGCTGTATTATGCAGATGCCCTGACAGAAATAGCTTTTGTTGTCCCATCACCAGTGGAGTCCCTAAGTAAGATCACTCTGTACACGCTGTTTACAAAAAACAACACTTTTTTTGTTGGAGAGTTATTTCAGAAGCAGAACCTAAATAAGCTGACTAGTAGTGTGTCTAGCAAGATCCTTGTCAGAAAACTAATGATGTTTTAATTTAAACATCCTAATCCTTAGACTCCTTCCTAAGGTGGTATCTGTTCTGTGTCCCTCTTTCTCAGTCTCAATATAAGTCCAGGTTTGCACAGCAGTATTGCTGTTACCCTGGGTGCATTAGGTTGGACGTATGGTTCACCATCAACTGGTGATGCATTTTTTTCTATCCTGTCTTGATGACATGCTCCTGCAGCACACGGAGGAGCATGTGCACAACTGTTATGTAGGTGAGCAACAGCTTTCACGACATCTTTTGCACACTAAAACCAGTGTGCAAAAGTTCCCTGGAATAAAAGGGCTGTGAGGAAATGATAGCTATAGGAAGGAGGAGGCTGTATTCCATAGGAAATGGATGGGACACTTCTACATTGTTAGGGAGTGCTTTATATTGCAGTCTGTTTCTGGAATAACTGGCAGTTGTCCACTGCTGAATCCTCTTCCTGCTTTTGAGTGCTGTATTAACTTGACTGTAAATCTATGTAGTTTCAAAAACCTTACAACCTTTTTTAGTTTCAAAACCTTACATATGATGGCATCTTAAGTTTTTTGGCAGAAGAAAAGACAAAACTCACCTTCCTTCTTCTGACTTACAGCTGATTCACTGGAAAGCAATGTCTCTGACCAAGAAAGTGACTCCAACATGGATCTGCTGCCAGGAATATTGAAGCAGCAGTCTCTGACACTTGAACTCTTCCCCAATCATACAGACAATCTTAATCCCTCCCAGCGGGTAAGGCAAAACTTGCATTGAAAAATGGTTTCTTTTTTTTTTTTTTTTTCCCCCCCTCCCAAGAAGGACACTGGCAATGCTACAGCATTTTTTGATAGTATATGATTTGGTTTCCTAGCATTTGGAGCTACGCGTCCCTAGCCATTAATCTTTAACATCTGCTTTGGTCCTGCCAGAATTTGCACCTGCAGTAGGAGATTGCAAGATTATGTTAATTAAATATAAAACTTAAACATGGTAAGTAGTAATATTCTGCATACTGAAATCTTGAAATGCAGGAAAAAGTATATGCAGTATTTACAAAGTAATTCAGACTCGAATCCACGCTTGGAAATTTAGGATGGATAGGCATGAACACTTTTCATACCTACCCAGTTTAAAATAGTACACGTCAGTTGTGTCTGAATTATCAGATGTGAAGTTGCTTTTGTATTGTAGCAAAGCACAAAACCATGAACTGCTGTAACAGTTAGCAAAGGATTTACAACTGCTTATTTCTTATATAGAATTCACTTCCAAATATATATTTAGTTACTGATTTGAGATCTTTGAGAACATTAAGAAAAACTTGAACCAGTTTTTTAAGATTGCATATATTAATTTATGTTGAATATAAATATTGTGGAGACCCAGATTACTGTTTCTCAGTGGGTAGCTCCACCACAGCTGCCCCATCTCAACAGTTGGCAGAGGTTGTGCCTGTCTGAGATCTGAAAGACTAAGGAGCAACTGTGGAAATGCTTGTTGGATGCGTTACTGGACTCATGATGTTTGCAAATGCTACTCTTCCCTTGTATTCAAAACAGCTCAGTCCTACTTCCAGATCCAAGAGGGTGCCTCAGGGCCGGACCATTCCACCGATGGGACCTGAAACCAAAGTGTATGTGGTCTGGGTGGAACGTTATGATGATATAGGTGCGTGGAAGTTTTTATTGTTTGCTAAAGTAACAACAGGGCAGGAACCAGAGGAAAAGCTCTGTTCCATTCCTCTATAAAATGCGAAATCCTTATTAATGTCTGTAACCGACACTTATAAGATTCTGAAACAGCTCTTTGATATTTGAGTGGCGGGCCATAGGGTGCACACGCACCAGTGGCATGTAGGTCTGGAGATTATTTTAGCTCTGGCGCTACATGTGAAATGCCATCACGCACCTTCTTAAGCTTAACACACAAGGCAAGCGTGCAGCCTTGTTTTTGAGTTCTCCTCAGCTGCTGTCTCCTCAGAGTGGATCTGTTGTTCTTCCTTTAAAAAAAAAAAAAGACTTCTGACACCTGCTGCTTCTGTGCTGAAGGGATCATCATCCTTCTTGGTTTGGTGGTACCTTTGACACTTTCTGTTGTGTTCTCTCTAGCAGGAGGGCTCGCTTATTCTGTGCTTGGTGTGCCTGTTTCATGCTATGCGGTCCAGCTTCCTTTCTGCACCTTTTTCAGGCAGGGTCCTGCTCCTCATGCAATTTAATGTTTCTTAGTTTGGCGTTTCCTCTCTGACTCTGGGTACTGTCTGACCTGGGAGAGACCTAGCTTTGCCCATCCCGTTACAGCCGTGGCATGGACAATGGTGGGCAGCTGGTTACTATGCTTGAGGAGTCCTTTGTCCCCAAGAGCTTCTTGTGTGCTGGTTCTAAGCGAGGGCCTGGCTTTAGCGCTATGCGGGAGCCTCTCTGTACTGGCCTAGCCCAGCAGAATCTATAACACTGGCCAGTAACGGATACTTTATTCTATCTTTGATTTCTAATCCTGGTTCCCAGTCTGGCAGTAAGGGTGGACCTTAAGTCCTTAGCTCCTCCCAGAGGAAAGCAACCAAGAGAATGGGAGCGATCAAGAGGAAGCTTCCTGTGAAGCGTAGGTGTAAATTCTCAAGACAACCACCTTGTCCACATCCTTCAGAGCTTTACTGGGATCGGGAGATGGACATCAAGTTCTTATGTATCTCAGCATCATTTCCTTATGCAGACATTGGCCCAGAAGGTGTTCCCTTAGCTCCAGCAGTCCCTCAGCCGCTTCAGTTCCTAAATTGGTGTCCCTGACCTACTTCTTTCTTGGGTGACAGCTAAAGCCAGCTCACTGCAGAGGCAGCAGCTGTGCTACACATGCATGTTTCTGCTTGGCTGCTTCTTTCAGCAGCTGTAGGAATCTCCCAAAGCTCTGGGCCTGAAGCTGAAGTGGGTTTGAGACTCTCAGTAAGCATGGCAGTTGGAATTGGGGGCTGGGGGGGTGGCTCTTGAAAGTGGCTCCTAGCCCAGAGGCTTTGCCTTATCCTCCTTATGTTCTTGGCTTTTGCCTTATGCTTCTGGTACATCTTTGAATCTGTCAGTGGAAAAGCTGTCATTTTGTAGTCTAGGCTATCGCCTCTGTGCCAACTGCCTCTTCTCCCTCTTGCTCCATCTCACAGTACTTCTATGGCCCTCCATACTCTCCTTCTGCTAGCTCCAGCTTTTGTGTACTCTTAGCATCCCAGCTCTGATGGCAAAAGGTGTTTTCGGGCCTTATACTTTCTGCTGGAAGAGGTGTTGGTACTGCCCTGCTGTCTGAAGTGAACTTTTCTGAATGACTCTCAACATCTCTGTCAGTTCTTGCCTCTAAACAAGGTAATGGGAAGTGCCACATCCCTTTCCAGGGATCTGAGTTCCTACTTCTTCCTCCTGCATCTTCATTATCCAGTTGCTCGTTACCAAGTGCATGGCAGCAGAGTTGTAGGTTATGGTGAGGATCTACAGAGCTTGGACTTCAGGAACAGTACCATGTTTATTGGAGCAAGGCTCAAAGGAATTGTAGATGTAAGCAGTGGTATTGTTTGAAATTCCCAGCACTGTTCTTGAGGCTGATTACTTGTGGACAGGTGATGATGCTGTTGAATAATAATTTGAAAGTTCTTCTTGTGATTGAAGTACTTCACCTCCTTCCGGCTTTCACTGTTCTTCTAGAGATTTTGACCTTTGGGATTGAGAGAATTGAGGGTCTGGGACATGTGTTACCTAATCTGTTGAGCGCAGGATGGCTGAGGTGTGTCTTTGCACTCCATGAATGTTTAAGCTTAAAAACAAATAAAGACTTTGCATCGCTAGCAGTGCAAGAACACCCATGGTATAAATGCTTGAGGACTGCATGGTTTTGCCTTATGATAAATAATATTTCTTTGTACAAAAACAAAACAAAAAAACCCCAAAAACTGAGGTAGATAAACTTTACTCAGTGCATCCTCTTCTTACAGAAAACTTCCCCCTCCCTGATCTGGTGTCTGAGACTAGTACTGGTGTGGAAACTACAGCCAATAGTAGCACTTCCCTAAGGTAAGACTGCTCTTATTTTCATTATTTTTCTTAATTCCTGTGGACAACAGTTTAGGCTGCACTTTAGAAGAAGTCGTAACTGAGATTATTTGCATTCTTCAGCTTTCACAGGCAACCCTGAAGCCTCTAGGCAGTCACGTTAGACAGATGAGTTTCCTCAGTGGATTTTTGTTGTTGTTGAAAAAATGAAAGAGCTTTTCATATCACCGCAGTTTAAATATAAATTAAGGAACAGAAAATGTGTAGTTTTTATCTTGAGCCTGTGATGAGCCTCCCTCCTGATTTACTCCCTTGTGAGGCAGTTAATGCTGCATATGTGTTGTGAGGCTTAAAGCCCTGTCTGCAGGACTCTCAAATTCTGTGGTGACAGAAGATCATAGAAACAGTACAGCTGATATAGCCCTTCTAAAGTCCAGAGGATGCACACAGGACTCCCACTGGTTTAGCCACGAGACATTTTTTAACATTCTTTTAACACTTAAAGTGGTCATTTTTCATCTATAGATTAATTGAAACAGTGCTATAAAACTGATTTAACAGCTGTGGTTTTTCCCTTAAGATCTACCATTCCTGAGAAGGAAGTTCCTGTCATCTTCATTCATCCTTTAAACACTGGCTTATTCAGGATAAAACTACAAGGAGCAACTGGGAAATTCAATATGGTTATCCCATTGGTGGATGGAATGATAGTCAGTAGGAGAGCTCTCGGTAAGCTAAAGATTTTTAGGAACACTCATGTTTTGATTTTTTTTAAAAATATATCTGCAAAATACATAGTCTGGAATCTTTCATTGGAAAAAATACTGGGCATGGCAGAACAAAATAAAAACATGCTTTTTGCAGCAAGAGTGGTAGCAGGAACAGCAGAGGGAGCAGGTGGTCAGCACTTAGCTGACAGCATAGCAGGGCTCCACTGCAATTGTAGTAGGAGAGAAGTGAAGGGTTGGAACGAGTAGTGGTGGAAGGAAGAGGTAAATGCCTGTTACTTAGATAAGAGAGATCAGAAATGTGACCCTAATGTTTAGCATTGAGAGCTGAGGTGCTGGTGCTAGTTGACTGCCAGAGGGTACTGCTGAATTTTTGGACTGTGCTGGCATGCTGTGTTGCTTCCTTCTGTTCTAGAAGCTGGATAGTGATTAAAAGCCACAGCAATTGAGGATTTTCTAATATGTTCAGTAAAAATACTTAACCTACTATGCAGGCATGTGTTGCAGGGGTCCGTGTGTGCTGTCTGCTTTTTCCTGTGTTCCTGCATGGATTAATGGATCTGTCTTGGTATCTGTGCTACTATAGCTTCAGTAACTGGAAATCTTACTCCAGTGAGCAATTCACAAGACAGAGTGAAATGAATAAACGAACATTAGGATACTTGTACATAACCATAAAACTAACATTATAGGAGTCTGTTGGGGGTGACTTTCAGGTTCTGGATTTTGCATGCTTAATTCAGTGATGGGGAAATTGAAGCCACACTGGGCCTTTAAATAACATTTGTGAATTCCTGTCATGATAATGGCTTGTACTGAAAAAGAATCAGGTGTGTTTTCCTAGAGTTGGGCTGGTTTTTCGGCTGCATAAGGACTACTAGTATGATGAAATTTGTCTCATCTCTAAGTTTAGCAGATGTGGTTTGTGTGCAGTCAGGAAT